TGTCCTCCCATTGGCTGTATCAGGTGTCAATCATAGAAAACATGAACCCCCTGGACTGTTCCAGTATGTTTCCAAAAGTCCAAAATTTTCTGAAACATTCCGGAATCTTACTGATCTTTTAGAATGTCTTTGATGTTATAGAATGTTATTGATCTTTTAGAATGTCTTTGATGTTATAGAATGTTATTGATCTTTTAGAATGTCTTTGATGTTACGGAATGTTCGGTGATATTCTAGAATGTTCTACATCCTCCAGAGCGTCACCACCACAGACTGTATTTACTCATTCAGAGGGAGAGTCTCTGTGATGACGCTCGGCTCAAACAGCGTATCCCCCGGTGATCTACTCAATCTCTGTCCTCCCATTGGCTGTATCAGGTGTCAATCATAGAAAACATGAACCCCCTAATAACTTTTAAAAATGGAGCTGTACAGAAAAAAGAGGACTTGAGCACAAACCAGTCTGACAGTAACTACATGTCAACATCACAACCAGGGGGGAGAAACATTTATATTCTGTGTCATTCATTTATAAAGTTTGTCCACAGCTCCATAAGGAGGCGGGGTTTAGGACCTATACTGCAGCCCGTCACTCTAAACCAGCTGAGGGTCGTTCGTCGTCCTCGGCGGGAGAAGTGGATCTGGTGAAGTGAACTCCTCCTCCTCAGTGATGGGAGCGTTTGTGGAGCGTCTGAAAACGTCCTTTCGTCTCTGATTGGTCCTCTTTGTCTCACCTGTCAATCTGAAACTCAGCGTTTAGGTCTGAGGGGGTCTGGGGGGTTTCCAGGGCAGAGCTGGTCTCTAATCCTGCTGTCAATCTCTCAGAGTGATGGGAGGGGGGGGGGCGTCCTCAGCAGGATTGTCTAACCTCGGTCCTGGGGGGACGTCCGACGTGTTAATTCCTCTATTGACAGATGTCCAATCAGAGAGTCCGGCTGCGATCAGACCTGCATGTTAACGAGCCGAAGATCAGAGTCCGGGATCAATAACTTCACTGAGAGGGAAACAGAGCGGGTACGAGCGGGAGGACGGGTCAGCTGACAGGACCGTCAGCAGGAGAGGACGTCCAGCAGAACAAAACCCACAAGACCAACGTCCAGAAGTCCAGATCCTCTCCAGAACTTAGACCGAGCCAGGACCAGGAGGAGTCCAGGATCCAGGTCCTGATGTCATCATCTACAGTCCATGAAATAAAGATCCTGATGTCTTTGTCCCCTCAGAGACGGAGTCCTGATCCTGTCAGACAAGATTCAGGGCACAGAGGGAAATCAGAAGAATCAGAATCAGAATCAGAACCAGAATCAGAACCAGAACCAGAACCAGATGGGGTTTTATTGCCGTTGTTGATAAACAGGATTCACAGAGTAGGAATTTGTTTTGGCCTGATGGTGCAACAACAAACAGAGAGAAATATAAAATACTGGAATAAAAACTAACAAGAGCATGAAGGACATATATAAAGTATAAAAATATAAAAGTATAAAAATATAAAAGTATAAAAATACAAAAATATAAAAATTTAAAAGTATAAAAGTATAAAAGAATAAAAATATAAAAGTATAAAAGTATAAAAGTATAAAAATATAAAAGTATAAAAATATAAAAGTATAAAAGTATAAAAGTATAAAAATATAAAAGTATAAAAGTATAAAAGAATAAAAATATAAAAGTATAAAAGTATAAAAGTATAAAAATATAAAAGTATAAAAGTATAAAAGAATAAAAATATAAAAGTATAAAAGTATAAAAATATAAAAGTATAAAAATATAAAAGTATAAAAGTATAAAAGTATAAAAGTATAAAAGGTTATGTAGAACTAAACAGTCTAGAACTTCAGTTCAGTGGGAGGATTAAAGAATCCAAAGACCATGAAACTGAAGTGACCCGTCTGCTGGAGTCATCAGGGTTAGTTTGGAGCTCGTCTTCAATCTGCTGCAATATTAACATATTAATAATAACAATAACAATCATCATCATCATCATCGTTGTGGTTGCCATGACGATGAAGAGGAGCCCCCTCAGAACATGATCTCTGCTCTGAAAATCCCCGTCCATCTCTGCACACGCTCAAACCCTCACAGGACCGCTCCTGTGTGTGTGTGTGTGTGTGTGTACGTGTGTGTGTGTGTGTGTGTGTGTGTGTGTGTGTGTCTGTGTGTGTGTGTGTGTGTGTGTGTGTGTGTATACATGTGTGTGTGTGTGTGAGTGTCTGTGCGTGTGTGTGCGTGTGTGTGCGTGTGTGTGTGTGTCTGTGAGTGTGTGTGTGTGTGTGTGTGTGTCTGTGCGTGTGTGTGTGTTTGTGTACGTGTGTGTGTGTGTGTACGTGTGTGTGTGTGTGTGTGTGTGTGTGTGTGTGTGTGTGTGTGTGTGTGTGTGTGTGTGTGTGTGTGTGTGTGTGTGTGTGTGTGTGTGTGTGTGTGTGTGTGTGTGTGTACGTGTGTGTGTGTGCGTGTGTGTGTGTGTGTGTGTGTGTGTGTGTGTGTGTGTGTGTGTGTGTGTGTACGTGTGTGTGTGTGTGTGTGTGTGTGTGTGTGTGTGTGTGTGTGTGTGTGTGTGTGTGTGTGTGTGTGTGTGTGTGTGTGTGTGTGTGTGTGTGTGTGTGTGTGTGTGTACGTGTGTGTGTGTGTGCGTGTGTGTGTGTGTGTGTGTGTGTGTGTGTGTGTGTGTGTGTGTGTGTGTGTGTGTGTGTGTGTGTGTGTGTGTGTGTGTGTGTGTGTGTGTGTGTGTGTGTGTGTGTGTGTGTGTGTGTGTGTGTGTGTGTGTGTGTGTGTGTGTGTGTGTGTGTGTGTGTTGACGGCTGACCTTTCTTCATCTCCAGTTTCTGGTTCTTTGTCAGATTTTGTTCTGCAGGAGCGAGGAAGCAGAGCGACCCTCCTCTTCTTCTTCCTCCACAGTGAGAGGGGTTAATGTAAGACCACGTCCCCTGACACACACACACACACACACACACACACACACATACACACACACACACACACACGTACACACACACACACGTACACACACACACACACACACACAGACCATGTGGTTTTGACTCTAAAGCAGCAGGTCCTGGTCTTCTGGTCTCTCTCAGTCACTGAAACTGAAGTTTCTGTTTGTGTCGTTCATGAACAATTCGTTCAAAAGAACTGCTGAGTGAAACGCCAGTGAGCGAGCGGGCGGAGTCTCATGATTCACTCACGACCTGATGCAGAGGAGGGAGGGGTGTAGCGTGGTTCACTTCCTGCTGAGCAGCGGTTGGTTGACTAAGATAAATCAGGTCATTATGGCGCCTTTACATTAAAACACGTGTTTAAATTCAGCCGATTTAAAGAAATACGATATTTGATATCTTTAAAAGTATCTGAATCCCCGCTACAGCTGACATCTTTGTTTATTTTTAATCTCGCCACTTTTCTGCAATATAAAAGAACGACGACTCGCACTCGTTTAGCGGCGACGGCGACACACAGAGAGGTGAGTTTTTCAGGTCGGGGGAGTGATTCTTCCTTCAGGACTTGGCGAATGAACGACATGAGTCACCCAGAGAACGACGCTGTGACTTCATCAGCAGGGGAGGGGAGGTGCTAATGAACGAACTCGCCGCTGTGTCACTGACTGGTGTTCTGCAGCGACGGGGCGGGGCTCCGAAACACCGACTGATTCAGTGAACGAATCTTTTGAACGAATCCTTTTAATGATTCTAAAGATTCAGTCAAAAGAACTGATCTTCCATCACCAGAGGACAGATGTTCCTCAGGGACTCCTGGACTCCTCTCTAAGTTCTCCGCCTGCAAGATCCCTGACAGGACTTTGACCCCCCCAGAAAAGGGGACTGGGTCTGTTCCTGGTTCTCATGGGTCTCTGGGGTGTGATCTGGATCTGGTTTAGAGGCAGCAGCAGTCCAAGAACAGGAGACCCTGCAGAGAGGATCAACAGTCCAGGGTCCAGGTCTTCACCTTCTTTTGTCAGTTAGTTTTGGAAAGAGAAACCAGAACCCTGAAGACTTCCTCGAGGACCCTGGACTCAATCAGAGTCAGAAAACCCACCCAGGCAAAACCAGGTCCTGTTAGGGTCCCAAAACCTTCTCCTGGGTCTTCAAAACCACAACAGGAGACTCTTAAAGGAACTCTTCAGAGGTCCTCAGTGTGACCTTAGACCGTCTCTCAGGACCGCCAGAGGACAACCAGAACCCTGATGTCTGTCTGTAGATGTCTGTAGATGTCTGTCTGTAGATGTTTGTCTGTAGATGTTTGTCTGTAGATGTCTGTCTGTAGATGTTTGTCTGTAGATGTCTGTCTGTAGATGTTTGTCTATAGATGTTTGTCTGTAGATGTTTGTCTGTAGATATCTGTAGATGTCTGTCTGTAGATGTCTGTAGATGTTTGTCTGTAGATGTCTGTCTGTAGATGTCTGTCTGTAGATGTTTGTAGATGTTTGTCTGTAGATGTCTGTCTGTAGATGTTTGTAGATGTTTGTCTGTAGATGTCTGTAGATGTCTGTCTGTAGATGTTTGTAGATGTTTGTAGATGTTTGTCTGTAGATGTCTGTAGATGTTTGTCTGTAGATGTCTGTCTGTAGATGTCTGTAGATGTCTGTCTGTAGATGTTTGTAGATGTTTGTAGATGTTTGTCTGTAGATGTCTGTAGATGTCTGTCTGTAGATGTCTGTAGATGTCTGTCAGGCAGAGACCCCCCCCCAAAAGAACTTCCTCCTGATTTTTTTGATGTTTTTTTAAGAAGCTGTGAAACAAAGAAGTTCAGCTCTGCAGAGGAACATCTCCTTTACTCTTATTTCCTCTCCTCCCCTCTTCTCTTCCCTTGTTTCCTCTCCTTCCCTCTCCTCTCCCCTTCTTTCCTTGCCTTTTGTCTCCTTCCCACTCCTCTCCACTTGTTTCCTTCTCCTCTCCTTCCCTCTCCTCTTGTCTCCTCTCCTTCCCTCCCCTCCCTCTCTCTCCCCCCTCTCCCCTCTCTCCCCCCCCCCCCCCTCCCCCCCTCCCCCCCTCTCCCCTCCCTCCCTCTCTCTCTCTCTGGGGGGACCCCCGAACACCTCGGGGGTTTATTTGAAGGTTCGACGTCTCGTATGGAAATGACGGCGGCTGTTTTTCCTGTAAAGTGTCATTTTTCCCGCCTTTACAGCGACGCCGTCGTTTTGTTTTCTTTGATGTTATTGTGTTCTTCATTTCTTCATCGCCTCAGACGATGATGGTACATATTGGCGCCGCTCCCCGGTGACGGTGGATATTAAAGCTGAACACGATGATGAAACACGGACAGGAAAACGACAACACGCTCGCTGGAAACCTGTTAACCTCCATCAGCTGCTCGTTTTCTCCTCCTTCTCTTTTTTCCTCTCGTCTCCGTGTGCGAGCGCCGCTTTTCATCTCCAGGCGAGCTCAGACAAAGGAGGGCAGCAAAGGTTTCTGCTAATTATGTTTCAGACGGGAAATTAAAGAGTCGGACGTGTTCGTGTGATTAAGTCAGAATGGCTTTTTAATGACTTTCACACTTCAGCCTGTTATTACTGCAGACAAATATTTAGAAACGCTCGCGGACGTTTACTTTAAGAGACCAAACCGCCAAACAAACTCGCTTAAAAAGGCAGCGAGTGAAAACAGCCCGGGAGGAGGAAACGCCGCCGCCACTGCGTCCGTCTATCAGGGATTTCTCTTCACTCAGACGTCCTGAATGGACCCTTCAAAGACCCTAAAACCAGTCCTACTAGAGTCACACCAGACCCCCTCAGAGGACCTGCTGAATGATCCGGACCAGGATACCTGACAGGGTCGAACCTCAGACTCATGGAGGCTGAAGGTCCTCGCACTCCGGGAACGTCGGAAATTTACGACATGAAACTACGAAATATTTGACGCGCCTGACTGAACACATCAAGCCTGATGTGATTCTGCGACTTTCTGGGGGGATAAAGACGCGTCCCGGGTGGAAGCGAGAAAAGAATGCTGGGAAAACGTCGCTGATGTGACGCTTGTATTGACGGGATACGGGTTCGAAACAAATATTGACGTCTGAAAAAATCGCAGGAAGAGAAACGCTCGTTTGTGAAACGACCTTTATACCCCGACAGGTTTTCAGGAACCCTGAACATCTGAGGACACAAAACCTGAGCTTCTGCTGTCCAATCAGGACAATCCTACAGGACACGCCCACCCAGCAGCTCTATCAAAGACACAGCCGTGCTGTTAAGCTCCTCCCCCTCCTCTCCCGATGTGTACTGAGCATGTGCGAAACGTTCGTCACTTCCTCTCTTGGCATTTCAATATATTTTACGATCGATTCAGAAACAATCTGGTGATGTGACCGGCGAGCTTCATTCGCCCGAACGGTGAGACCACAGAGAGCGCCACCACCTGGTCAAAATGATGGTTCTCTGACTTTTCAAAGTGTGGAGGCGGGGTTTATTTCATTTATTTTATAATTAAATTAATTAACAAGACGACGACACATTATGGACGATGAACTTCAGCGTTTTTATTCAGAGTTTCAATTTCAACTCTGAAATATTCATTTAAACCTTTTAGAACTACGTTACGATTTTACGTTTTAGCTGGAGAACCTTTAATCGGGAAACTGGGCGCCATTCTCTGGACTCTCTGGCGCTCTGCTTCAGTCGGAGGAAGAACTGTTATAAACTGAAGTGAGCTCGCTGACGCTGAAGCGGTCGAACACGTGTCGAAGCTGAAAACCACGAGGGTCGAAGAACTGCTGAGTGTTCGCAGAGACGACTCGCAGAGGAAGTGACGTACATTTCGCACATGTGCAGTACGAACCGTGTTCCCGTGACGGATCAGGCAGCGACAGACCTCCTTTAGTCTAAGTTTAGAGGCGGGTCATGTGAGGACAGCGGAAGGACAGGTGGACAGGTTTTTCTGCGTCTTCTGATCACAGACATGATCTGATCAGATCGAACCCATGACATCATACCAGCGTAGGTTCAAGGAAGATGGAGGTCAAAGGTCGTCCCTGTGGATACGTTTTCTTCATCCTGGTTTTACTCTGTGTTCTGACTGTTTTGGTCCCGATGAAAGCAGCAGAACTAAAGAGTTTCAGAGTCTGGTTTTGTGAGGAGCCTCCGAGCTGCAGGGAAGTACTTTATCAGGGTTTGTGGGGGGTCGTGACCCTGCTGTTCAGATTTATTTTAGTTTGTGTCTCACACTCAAACATCCAGCTGCGGTTGTTTCTGTCGCTGCTTCACTTTTCATTTTCCTGCCGTCTCTCTGAAATCACATCCAGATGTTGTCATCGGCTTCCTGTGTCCAGTTTTTCCCAGCCAGCGCAGGAACGTGACACTTTCCTCTGGAAAATACAATAAAACAGAAACAGCTCAGCGCAGCCGTTTCCTTTCATAAATCCTGCTGCAGCTCCGAGAGCGTTCAGCGTTTTAATGGACGCCACGTCCAGGTGAGCGGCTGTAAATCCACCTGAGCCTCTGAGGACTTCTGTCATGTGACCAGTCCTACTGTCCTCTCTGCACGCGCTCAGATTTCAACGTCTGCTTACGACCAACTGTGCACCAATAAAAACCGGCTCACCTGTCGGCACACCTGCAGGATTTACCTCTGAGAGGGAAAGATGGCCGACCGCCTCAGGAGTCTGAAACTGTTCCTGTTCTCTTTACTGCAGTTCCACACGACAACAAGTTTATTATCATCATTATAACATTTATTATTATTATTATTATTATTATTATTATCATCATCATTATCACATTTATTATTATTATGATTATTATTATTATTATTATCATCATGATCACATTTATTATTATTATGATTATTATTATCATCATGATCACATTTATTATTATTATAATGATTATTATTATCATCATGATCACATTTATTATTATTACTATTATAATTCTGATTATTATTATCATCATTATCACATTTATTATAACAGCAATATTAATTATTATTATTATTATAATTATTATTATTATTATCAACATAAATATTGTTTATATTATTATAACGGTAATAATAATAATGATTATATTGATTATCATCATCATGATTCTTTTTTATAGTATTATTATCTTTATCTGTGGACTTATTACATCAAATACAAGCTTTTTGATTGGCTGAGAGATTTTTTACTGTTTTGATTTGAGATGAAATTTTCATGAATTGATGCAATTAAAACAATATATATATGTATATATTTGTACATATATGTACAGTAAATGTATACTGAGTATTAAGATATACTGCAAATATATATACAGTATATGTAAATACAGACAGTATGTAATAAACATTATAAATATAGTCTAAATATAGTGTTTATATATATTATGTATTTCTATAATATATACATATAATCATTAATTATAAATATAAAATTATATATAATATATATATACACAAATATACAGTATATGTATACTGAGCAATTATATATACTGCAGATATATACACACACAGTATATAAATATACATTATATTTATATATATATATATATATATATATATATATATATATATATATATACGTATATATGTATATATATATATATATGTATATATATATATATATATATACACTCACCGGCCACTTTATTAGGTATACCTGTCCAACTGCTTGTTAACACTTAATTTCTAATCAGC